ATGGTCTGAACAATACATCACGGGGCAGATTTTTCAAACGCACAAATGGGAATTAGGTGCCTGCTGGTTTTCTGTGGAAGATATCACCTAACTCTATTTTGTGCTTTTGAAAACCTTCCTCCCTATCAACCAATCAGTCATAAAAAGGTACCTAATGCAAAAAATTGCTCTTTTACCAGGGACTTGCTTTTAATTTTCTCAGTTTTTTTTTTTTTTTTTTCTGTTCCCATTGCAGCTCTGCCATTGCCATTTTTCAGGTCTTGTTGCAATCCAGGGTATTAACAGGATTTAACATTTTTTAGCTAACTAATGATGGAGATATATGACTGGCATATTCTAGCCCTACGGAAATATTCTATTTTTGGTGTTTATTAAACTTTCCTGTCATATGATATACACTAAAATGATGAGCTTTAGATTTCTCAGTATGTGAAAACTGAACTTTTTTTTATTCCAGCTTCTTAACATATTCCTTTGTGTGTTGCATCACTGCAAGCTGCCAAACTGGGACTTAGTTGCCAATCCATATTCCATGTTAAGAAAAAAAAATTGCTGCCACTCAGGGGGAACATACATTTTTTATTTAACCAAACTGGAGACCTGTTAAAAAATTTTCCACTTTGAAGTCTGTTTTGTATTTTTAATTAATGCAACGATGGTTTTTATTTTACTCTCAGTGGAGATAATCTTAATCCATTCACAGTGACCTTTTCTTGTGCAAATTAGCTGTACACGCTTGTTTAAGCAAATGGGGCTTCACAAGATGTCTCTTCCTAATGACGGGGCTTATAATTGAAAATTGGCTTACTCCCATCTGTCTGGCCTGTGTGAGAATATAAAAGTAGATCTGGACTTATATGTGTATATACCCTCTTTCTATATGCATACCAAGAAATTTCCAATGCCTGCAGGCTATGATTAAATTAGGTTATTAGTGTTAGAAAATTTCAGTGCCACAAGTTACTGTCAAAGTAACACCTGTCCCCGGTGTCCGTGGAACTCCTGAGAAATGAGGGATATTTAATCTTGATCCTTTTGTCTTGGCCCCAGCAGGCTGGCAGGGTCAGTGCTATATACAGTTCCATAGGTTTGCCAGAAGTACAATTAGCTAATAACTGGCTTGAAACTGTTAGAATTTGATGTGTGTTTTCGGTAAATGGCTTTGAAGTGATTGATGGAATCAGAACAAAAACAGTAACATCTAGCTTAACGCTTTAATTTTGAGGAATGGGTCAATGGAGCTGTATGGTTAATTGTCAAAATGTGTTTCTATGCTTTTTTTTTAAGCTGATGTTTCCCTGTCTCCTACTCCCCCCCATACCCTGCCGTCACAGTCACTGAGTGTAAATCACTATAACCCCTGTTATTGAACAGGAACGATTGGTGTTGGTTAGCTGAATGTTCTTACTCAAGGTGAGCAAATGGGTGCATATGGTTCCCTGATGTGGGGGCCTTGACACTCCATTTTTGTGAAGATGATTGGTCTTAATGTCTGTGTTGTCCTCTCAAGCACAGAAATGTCCCAAAGATCTATCAGAAGAACAGCCATCAGTTTTATCTATATATAATAATACAGTTAAAAGATTCATAATAAAATGGATGATTCTCAAGGCAAAATCCTTTTGTTCTTTGTCTGTGGTATGGCCCAAAGTCCTCTCTTCCAATGAAGATTTTAAATACTTTCCCATTTTGATTGCCTTCAAATTATGAATAAAGATGGGGGGGAGGGGGGAGGAGAACAGAAGTAAAAACCACATGCAAACATGTAAGTACACACACATGGGAAGCTATTTAACATGTTGAGCATACAGATGTGAGTTTGATCAGAGCTGATTTTATCCAGATGTACATCTGCAGCTGTTTGTGTTGTCATGCACAAGACTCCAGATCTCATCATTAATTAAATTTTCTCTCTCCTCTCCTGTTTCCATTAGGTATGATTATCGTGAAATGCTGCACAATGCCACTTTCTGTTTGGTTCCCCGTGGCCGCAGGCTTGGATCCTTCAGGTTTCTGGAAGCCTTGCAGGTAAGTACTGGGGTTTAAAACTTTGATGATGCTGGGTGGAATTCAATATCAAGCTTGCAATATCAAGGAAGTGGGGAGGAGGGGAATGTGTCTAATTTCCCTAGTGGATAGTAATCTACTTTGCAAAAGCCTTTATTCATGCTTCTAGAGCAATTGGCAGCTTCTTCCCAGGAGGTTGTGAGCCCTGAGCTCATCTGAAGATTGAATTATGTTACCTCCAGGAGGAGGGTTTCCCTGGTCGTGGAAGAGTATGTGAAGTTGGATGAGTTCAGAGCAGTGTTTTGTCAAGCTGTGAGGCTGGATTCCCAGTGGAGACTCTGACCTCCTCTAGCAAGCCCTGGGGCAATAAGGGTAGCTTATTGTTTTCATTCAGCCAAAGCAAACTTGCCTATACATTGTTTATCTTGCTGTGCTTCATTTTGAACATGCAGATGAAGTCTCAGTTCTTCTAAATCCTAACTGGAAATAGCACAGCAAGAAGGAAATTCAAATGGGCTCTTATCTGTAGTTTCAAAATATTGTTCTGTTGTGTCTCAGAGGCAGGACTCTCTAAATTTCCTCCATTGCTGGAAAATCCTGCAGTGAAAAAAATGTCCCTTTCTTAGGTAGCAGTAGTGCAAGGGTGGGCAAAATACCACCCGCGGACCAGATCCAGCCTGCGAGGCCGTTCTGTCCAGCCCGCGGAGCCCCTAAAAAATTTAGAAAATTAATATTTATCTGTCTTTGGTTCCTGTCAAAAATGGCAGGAACCAGGGGGCGTAGGAGCCAGGGGAAGCCCAGTGGGCCCCTGCAACAGCAGGGCCCCCCCGGCCCTGTTGGCCCCCCCCCCCCCGCCCAGCTGGAAACCCCAGCAAGGGCTATTGGCCTGGGACCATGTGGCTGCCCCAGTGCCAGAACCTCAGGTAAGGGGTGGGGAAGGGCAGGGGAGGGCCCCAGGGAGAAAAAGAACCTGGGGAAGAGCTGAGCCCAGGGAAAAGCGGCCCCTCCCCAGCTCTGTGGCCAGTGCTCTCTGCTGAAGCCACTTGCAGCCCATGCGGGGCTGTCCTGAGCAGGCACAGGCAGCCCCATGCAAGCTGTGAGCAGCTGTGGTGTGGGGTGCCGGCCACAGGGTGGGCAAGGGGCCACTTTTCCTGCGCTCATCACCAGCTTGTAACCTGCTCCTGCAGCCAGCCTGGGCCCCACGCTGGCTCCGGGCTCGCTTGTCAGGGCTGTGCTGTGGTGGCAGCAGCCGCTGAGGCACCCCCACTTGCCACGCCAGGCAGTGTTTGCTGCTGCTGCCTGCCCAGAACTTGCACACAGGGCAGCACAGAGGTGGCAGTGGCAAACACTGGCCAGTGCGGCAAGTGGGGGGACTGCTTTCCTCTAATGCTGAGCACGGGGAAAAGAGGCCCCTCGCCCGCCTCGTGGCCAGCACCCTGCACTGCAGCTGCTCGCAGCCCATGTGGGGCTGCCTGTGCCTGCTCAGGACAGCCCTGTGTGGGCTGCAAGCGGCTGCAGCAGAGAGTGCTGGTCATGGGGTGTGGGAGGGGCCGCTTTTCCCCCATGCTCAGCACCAGCTCATTCCGTGCCAGGGAGCAGGGGGCCAGGGCTGCATGCTGCCCCCCGCCTGTACTGCAGGGCTGGGGGGCAGTGGGAGTGAGCGGGAGAGTGGGGTCCACACCAGTGTCCCGGGGTCAGCTCGAGTAGGGCCCAGAGCAGGACAGCAGGAGTACAGGGGTCCCGGCCAGCAGGGGCTCAATGGAACTGGGCCAGCTTCCCCATCTCCCTGCTGGTGCAACCCAGCCTGGCTCCACAGACCCCTGCCAGCCTGCACCCTACTCAGGGCCCTGCCAGTGCTGGCTCTGAGATATTGGTCCCAAGGTGGCGACCAAGGGGCAGGGCTACCCATGCAGCCCTTGACAGCTTGCCAAAACTGGGTAAGCGGCGTTCCGCCCGAAATTGCCCACCCCTGCAGTAATGAATAGAGCTAAAAGGTTTGCAAATCCTAGGGAAATCTGTGGTTCAGTGTATATGGCATTGGCCTGGTATTCAGAAGGGTTGATGGTAGTTCTGGTGCTACCTCATTCTGTAATCTTCTTTGTATCAAGTGAGTTCTCGGCACCTTTGTTTCCATCTGCCCTTTTAGGCTAACTACAGACAGTCAAAAAGCTAAGGCTGAATCAATTCAGTCTTTGCAGGTTAGTCTACACTGCAGAGATTAAACTGAAAAATAACTGGACAAACATTTACCTTTGATTTGGGGAATGCAGCCACATGCCTGCAGTGGCTCAGGCCAGAAGCCAGGGAGCACTAGAGCACGGCTCTCTGGCTGTGTGTTCACTTCCTCTTCCTGCTGCCCCCAAGGTCTCTGGGATTTGCAGCTAAGAATCACAGCAACAGGACTCTGCAGGTTTGCTCATAAATTCTTTTCCTGCTTCCAGGTGCCCGTGGGATTTGTAGTCCACAGTCATAGCCAGCAGTAAGTTTGAGTGGGGGAAGGGGTCTTTAACCTCCCTCCCTGGCCTCAGACCCCAGCCTGGGTTTGCTGGCAGGGAGAGCAAGCCAGCCAGTGAGGCCAGCAAGCCAGCTAGGGAGCAGAGGGGCAGAGCCAGCCCTCCCCCCTGGAGCGCACAGCAGTGCCCAGCCCAGGGCTGCAAAGCGTGCTGGGATCTGCAGGACTGTGATTTAACCTGAACCAGGAAGGGGTCTGGGACAGAAGTTTCATAAGCCACTTTGACCTAAATCAGTTAAGTCTGATGCTACATTCAACCAAGTTTATCTTAAACCAGTTTCAGCCATTTTGAAACTGGCTTACGTGCACTGAACTTTTATTCTGTTACAGGTTTAACTCGGTTTCTGATTACTTAAACCAGTTTGAGTAACTTCTTCCCCTATCCTTAGTAACACTTGTCTATTCAGACTGTAAAATGACCTAACCATCTTGATGGAATTCAGTTAAGCTTGGCTTGGTCCAGAAGAAAGTGAATTAAAACAAGAGTCTGATCCAAATCCCCTGAAATCAGTTAAGAGTCTTGGCATTGGCTTCAAGGCTAGGGACAGAAATTACACAAACTGGTATAAGTGATCAGAAACCAGTTCAAATCTGTAACGCAACAGAAATTCAGTGCACATAAACCACATTCAGAATGGCTAAAACCAGTTTAAGATGAACTTGGATGAATGTAGTATCAGACTTAACTGATTTAGGTTACATCAGTCTATTGTACTTTTGTCCCAGATGTCCTCCAGATTCCAGTTAACTCACAGTCCTCCAGCACCCCAGAATGCTTTGGACCTCCCCCACAAACACCCCCCTCACAAGGTGGACAGGCTAGCCTTGGCTTAGATTGTCTGCTCCAGCCAAGCAGGAAAGTGTGCTCTAGCACCCCCAGCTTCTGGCCTGGCCCACTGCAGGCATGTGGCTGCATTTTTGGAATCAAAAGTGAATGTCTGTTCACTTGCTTAATGGTTCAGTCTACACAGCTCAGACTAACCTGCTATATTGAATTGATTCAGCCTCGGGCTTTTGAACTGTCTGTACTTAGCCCAAAAGACTGTTGTTCAAATCTGATGTTCTGATCCAGCTGACCACATGGCGGCAGTGATTTATTTATACAGTGGCAACTGTACATTGCCTACTGGCCTTTAGATAAATGTGTTGCACATCCCAAGTGGTTACGCTGCAACAGTAACAAATAAAAAGTAGGAAATCTTAGCTGAATCCAAGCTGGTAAGACATGAGAAGTATCATATAATACTGAATGCAAACCAAATTAGAGATGAAGAGGAACTGAAATTCTGGGTGGTATTGGTGCCACCTGCAGAAATTGCAAGTAATTCCAAGTGTATGGGCATCAAAGTTTGCACCAGTCCATGATCATGTGCACATCTCATCTTCTAATGCATACAATAATTCTGTGTGTAGGCTGCCTGTGTCCCAGTTATGCTCAGCAATGGATGGGAATTGCCATTTTCTGAAGTGATTGATTGGAATCAAGCTGCCGTCATTGGGGATGAGAGATTGTTATTACAGGTAAGAAAAAGATTGTGGCCTTCAGCAGATCAGTTGATTATTGCTGCCACTGTCTAAAGTTGCAGGGAAGATGAATCCAAAAGGTCAGGGCTATAAAAGAATTTTTATCATGAAGGAATTGCCTGTGTCATGCTCAGTATGAACTCATTTAATATGACATCATTCATTTTTCTGACCTGAGGGTCACTGCAGCCACCAGACCCCACAGTTACATGAATAAGATTCTTGTTAAGAGTACCCAGTATTTCTTTCGGTCGGGAGCATCTGGATGCCATTCTAAGACAGTGTTATCTCATTGGCAGAGCCAGCCATCACTAGATGCTAGATTTTATTCAGATTTTGCCACCCACAGTTATACCATAGGATAGCCTAGCCTTTTTGATTTAGACTGCCCTGTGTACAGGATGCTGATAATGCTGGAAGGACTGTCTTTGGGGATAGGATCCTGCGCAGCATTGACAGGGACACTAGACTCTTGCCTTAACCTTTCTGTGCCAGACTTTTCATTTAAAAGGTAGAAGTGATGTCACTTGTCTCTGGAAAATATCATGGGAACTCACTTACTTGCTTATCTCCCTGAGATCCTGGAATGAAAGGAAGCTGAAGAATTGCATATGTATTAATACTGATGCTTGTTGCATTAAGTGTCTTCTCTTCCATATATAAATTCACTCTGAGATTTTTTTTTTTTTCCCACATCTGTCAGGCTGCTTCAGTGTTTGGCTTCTAACAGATTTGAGGGAAAGAGTGCACAGGAATGTACGGTCAAGAAACTGCCGTTAAGAACTGGTTGCTCCAAAGCTGTATCTATTAAAGAACAAGCAAGCCTGCAGTTGTTGAACAGCAGGAAAGGGCACTAGACAGAGATCTCAAAGAGCTGGGTTCTGTGTCTGGCTTTGCCACTATGTCTTGGGCAAATAACCTTTTCTCTCCATGCCTCAGTTTCTTCATCAGTACATAGGTATTGTGATTCTGGCGGTCTTTTCCAAAGCATTCACTAATCCAGGAAGGGCAACATTTTTAGGGCTGGTCACATAGGGAAGTTCTTACAGAATAAACTCTGATAGGAATTTGGAAGGCAAAAACTGTGCTGAACACTACTTTCCTGCATGGAAATTCCTTCATGGTGAGAGGGGGTGTGTGTGTGCGCGAGAGAGAGAGAGCATGCATGTGTTTTAACCCATTTGTTAAGTAGGTGGACATTCTTAGTTATTTCACCATGTAGAAAAGCCTTTAAAAGTATTTAGATGCCTTGGACACTAAAGATCTTGATGGTTCTGAAAATCCCTCTAGGTACTAGTCTACATCTTAAAGCAACAAAATACCTTTAACAATCTGGCCTGGAAAACCCTATTTAGGAGGTAACTATTACTATTCATTAATTGTAAGCTGCAAGTAGAAAAGCAACATTTAATTTTTGCTTCACAGTTTTGTGAGCAGAATTATTTCTCTCCCCCTTTTTTTAAATATAATTTGCTGATCTTTGTGCTTTCCTGTAACATGCCATTCGTTCTCTTCACAGCTGCTTCCATATTGAGCAGCCACTGCGCCGTTATTAACAATGTTTTTAAAGAGTTGGCATGAGGCCTGAATGTCTGCTCTGGGAAATGTTTTTGTTATGTTACAGTTTTTCATTTCCTGTTTTAGAACAGCTCGGATGTTTTTATTTGCATATTCTCGTCATCAGAGCATGAGTTTAGCTCCAGGAAAGCTTAATCTAGTCCTCCCGCATTTATTTTTGTTGGGTGTTTTCTCCCGCACCATTACCTAAATGACCTGTTATGAAGACGTCATCCAGCTTTTATAATTCTAGTGTAATCCTCCCAGATTAGCATTAATACATCATTTTTCCCCACCTGTCTCTGGACAAGTGGATTAATGATTACTAGACAAACACCAGTAAAAGAGGAACTATGGTTTTGCTTTTCAGCTGTGGTAACAGGCTGGAAGTACAACAGTCTAAGAAATGTTTTTACTTTGGTGTGACGTTTGCCGACATATATGTAAAGCGTAGTCTTTAGAATGGTAAATCTCTGCAGCAAGCTTTGGAGTCACAACTGCTTCTGCATTGAAATAGTGTGCCATTCTTGGGAATGGGTGTCCAATTTCATGTTGTGTTCATACCCATCACAAAAGCTATTAGAAATAATGGCCCATTGCTACCCTACATTGCGTTCATTGTAGCATGATTGCGGTTGAGAATGTTAACAGGCAGCACTTTAACCCTGTACCTGCAAGAAGCTGTCTGTTGACAAACTACTCACTGGGCGCATTTACACAAGACACTACTGTGCAGTCGTGACTGCATATTTATTTAGTACTTGTATTAGCAAGCACTAAATAAATGTCCAGTAACTGGAGTTACTGCGCAGTATCACCAGCAAACATCTTTTAGGTGACCCTACTGCTCAGTGGCCTAATTCTACCTCACAGTAGCGTATTAGCGCTGTGACGCACTACTGCGCAGTATTTTTCAGCTACTGCATAGTCAGCATCTTGTGTAGATGCACCCAGTTCTCATGGATTATGAAGGGTTTTTCTTGATCTGTCTTGATCCATCTTGATCTCTCTCTCTCTCATAAAAGCACCTTTTAATCCCTGTAAGGTTACTGAGGTTTGTGGTACAACAATATAAACTCTGGTATAGTAAGATCTGTCATTTGCATATGCTGTGATTGCTTCCCTATCACCCATTCTTCATGTGCTACTTGTTTTGCAGAGAGTGGGAAGCAGTAGATCATAATATGCCAGAGGCCAGTTTACCACCCTGACTCCTTTGCTTTCATGGTGTATCCTACTTTCTTTGGCCCTGGTCCTTGTCACCATAGGCCCCAGTTCAACAAGGCAAGGTCTTAGATTGTAAAGTGTTGAAAGCAGAGGCTCTTTCTTACGATTTGTACAGCACCTAATAGTGTGATGCTGTTATCCTGTGGGGGAGCCCTAGGCACTGCCTGCATACAACTAATATGCTACAAGGGATTTTAGCATTTACCTGATCCTCCACAAATTCTTTGTCTCTGATCTTAAAACTTTGACTCGTGATCTAAAGTAAATTTCTTGTGAAACCGTTTCATATGGGAGTGTATGAAAGTGCACAACAATCTTTTTCAGCTAAGGATCTTCAGAACCATACTTGAAGAATAATTGTACTTGGATCAGGAGTATCTTAGGCAAGATGCATGCGTGTGTTGGAGATGTGGGTTTCTTAAATTAATCTCATAAGTAGATGGAATACGCAAATAACAGTACAGTGCATTCAGTGTGTGCATGTGTGTATACATACCATTAGCCCTGAAATTCAATATAAGGAAAGGTTTATGAGAACTGAGCTGGTTAGAATGCAGTAGCCTGATATGAAAGCTAGACTGTTCTCAGCAGTGGCAGATGACAGGATGAAGAACAATGGTCTCAAGTTGCAGCAAGAGAAGTTTAGGTTGGCTATTACAAAAAAAACTTCCTCGCAAGGAGGGTAGTAAAACACTGGAACAAATGACCCAGAAAGCTTGTGGACTCTCTATCCTTGGTGGTTTTTAAGACCCAGCTAGACAGCCTTGGCTGGGATGATCTAGTTGGGGATGGTCCTGCCTTGAGCAGGGGGTTGGATAAACTGAGGT